GGGGGGGGGGGGGGGGGGGGGGGGGGGGGGGAGGGGGAAGGCCCGTCTCGTCATCGTGGTGACGTCACACGCTGGAGGAGCGGGTCGCTCCTTGACTCTCTTAGATGCTCCTACACTCCGACCGGTTTTCGAATTGAGCTTCTTGCGAAGGCAGAGTAGGCCTACGCCGAATACAACTTCGCAATATTCTGAGAAACCCTTCAATGTTCCGAACATGTTATTAATGCGATCGTATGCATCTCAGGATTTATACAGTTGACAAACAATCGAAGCCGATTGCGACGTTCAGAAGAAAATGAGAACGACCGGCCTTTGCCATCAAAGCGATCGGAGACCAAAAGCCAGGACCTGCGGGAGCTAATGATTCATGCTTGAATCATGAATTGAATCTTGTGCACAGGTGCCAGGCGACTCGCATGATCCAATTTGCGACGCTATTCCACTGTATGAGATCAGCTCCCCAAAAGGGACCTCCCTCTCCTGTCGTTGGCACATCGGGGCCGAATGCCTCGACACGAACGCCAGAAGGAAGAACACAAGAACGAATTCACTTTCTTGGCGAGTGAGACCTCGCCCCGCCACACCGAGATGAGCCACTGCAAGGACCGTTCTCACAGAGAAGAGAAGCAACGAACGGGTCAGCAGAACCGGAGGTTAGAAAGCGAAATTAACCTTCAATCCACACGATGACAAGCCTGACCCCCGACAACCCCGAAAATTCCTCGTTCCCTTAATGGGTTCGAAGATCTGATCCCTCAATCAAAACTTATATCTGTTCTTTCTTGGGATATGAGTCATATATGAACAGTACAGTCAGGCAATAGAAGATTGTGGAAACACTGCTGACCAAAATAAATACGGGAACGGGATGACGTCATCAATAGTGTCACAGACACTATTGGTAGGGTGAACTGCAAAAATCTCAAACATTATGCAGGTCAAGTCGAACTCTTTACGCCACGCTTTAAGGCAGAGTCTACCGCGCGAACGTGCCTTTGACTCGACCTTTTGGAATGTCGAGGCCTCCAAGACTTTCTCGGCAATTATGCATCATTCGTATTTGCTGTATTCATAAGGTTCCAAAATAGTAGAAATACGGATGGCACTGCGCCTGTAGTTCTTAGGGGAATTTTGAGTTTATGGAGTTCAACTGAAGTGGAGGTAATATGCCCTTCTTTACTTTTTTTTTTTTAGCGATCTATGTAGCATGACTATTTCAAATTGGGGTATTCCAACATATGTATTTCCAACAGGGTGGGATTTCAGCATCCAACCTAAGCAGCCTTGTTGCTCCAATATGTGTTGAATTGGTGTCGGCTTTTCATAAGGGAGGAGCGAATGCTGAAATAGTTTTATTCCGTCAAATCGTCTGATATGTAAAAGTGCATGCGAAGATTTAGATGAAGAGAGAGTCGCGCATGGCGAGCCTCCTCTCTTCCAGTTTCGATTCGGGACAATGCAGGGTCCTCCATGCATTCGGCGACTCGGTCGCACCCACTGTCACCTTGAGACGTTTGGACTCCAGCATCCGTTGGCTTCCCAGTCGTACGAGCCGCTGGGCGAGCCAAAGAAGGAACGTGACGAATTCGATGACGGTGAGGACGCTGCCTCCAATGATGAGACCGAGGATGCCCCCCGTGCTGCCTGAGGAGCGAGAAACGCCTCAATGCAATACAGCACCTCGACGAGGTGGATGACACGGAAACCCTCCCGTCCACTCACTGATGAGGTCGATGACGGAGAACGCCGTATGCGTGATGACGCGCTCTGACAGCATGTTGTAATGGACCTCAACCATCGCCACTTTCTCACTGCGTGAGAAATTTCTAATTTAACAGAAAACTCGATGCTCAATCAGTTCGTACCTCACCTTTGTTTGAGGTCGTATCCAAGCTGGTTAGTCACACTCTCCAACGCTTCCCCATCGTGCCAGCCGCTGGGCGAGCCAAAGGAGGAACGCGATGAATTGGATGACGGTGAGGACGCTGCCTCCAATGATGAGACCGAGGATGCCCCCCGTGCTGCCTGAGGAGCGAGAAACACTTCAGTGCAATACAGCACCTCGACGAGGTGGATGACACGGAAACCCTCCCGTCCACTCACTGATGAGGTCGATGACGGAGAATGCCGTATACGTGATGACGCGCTCTGACAGCATGTTGTAATGGACCCCAACCATCACAACCTCCTCACTGCGTGCGAAATTTTTCGTTCAACAGAAAACTCGATGCTCAATCAGGTCGTACCTCACCTTTGCTTGAGGTCGTATCCAAACTGGTTAGTCACACTCTCCACGTAAGCTGGATTCAGGTGGTCGTAGGTGACCAGCGCTTCATAAGAGGTTTCTGTGCACAGAGGTTTGCATTCTTTCTCTGCAAGAAATAAGTATATGCCGAATTCAACAGAAGGTTTCGTTTCAGCGAAGATTGCAGCACAGATGTGGGAAACTAGATTCTCTTCGTGATTTGCCGATTTTCGCCTCTGTTCCAGTTCTTCTCGACAGGTTCAAATTTGGGATGGTTCGAAATATAATTTTAGCAAGCGCAGACCCGGACAAGTAAATTTTACCAAGAGAAAATAGGAGAATACCATAATTTGATTTATTTGCCCTGATATGGGAAAGGGAGGGAGAGCATAATTTTCCTATGTAGCCCTGGTAGCTCTTAAAACTCTCATTGCAATATCAGGTTCATCCTAGGTCGCTTTTAATCAGACGTTTTAGTTTTTTTTCTTAAGAAAGAACACATTGACACGTGACAACAGACATGATACATTACAGAGGGAGAGAGCCTTCTTCTCCTTCAAAATTGCAGATCGGGTTGCGTTTGACGCTCCGTCCCTTTGACAGGGCTGCTCTATTTATTTTCCCTAGGCTTTCCAGAGTTTCTCGAGAAATTAACCAAATACAGTCCAAACTAACTGCATCTAGCCACCAGCCTCGCGTAACGGTAATGTTCCGATCAAGAACGTCACAGAAAACTGCTTCGGCGCAATATTCGCCAATTGAGTGAGAACTGCCTCCAACAGCGCTCCAACGATTTACTTTAATTATTTACTTGATTTATTTTTCATGGGAGAGACACGCTAAAAAAGGAATTGGTGGCTCACCTGCTCTGGAAAAGACAATTTCCGTATACTTGTCCAGCGCCTTTTCCTGTCCTATGCACCGCATGTAATTCTCGGGACTGCACACAAGCAGGCTCGTATTCTCCAGCTCTAAATGGAGAAGAAAAATGCGGCGGCGTCAGCTGTCGACCACCTTCCGATCATGAGAATTCCAGAAACCTGCAGAAGACAGGGTATCGGCGGGGTTGCAGCTGCACGTCGAGGTGACGGCCGCGTCCCGGAGGATCCTCTCCACGCAGTTCCAGGAATGGGGGAAGGTGTTCATCAGGTCGTGGACGGGTCGGGAGGGGGCTGTCGTCACGTTCACATCGCCGCACGCGTTCGACCTCACCGGGTAGACGTTTCTTCCGGAGTGTTCCACCTGGCCGATCGGATGTCCCGTGGTAAATTCTGATTACAAATTACTCTGATTTTTATTTGGACATGAACTGCAACGAACAAAGCAACACCTCCATTATAAAGGTACGGCATGGCATAAGAAATTAATTCACTCCTCTGGTATCTGAGGTTTACTAAAGGACTAGGAGAGTCGGGCCGACACCACAGGTATCCTACCGTGCTTGAGCAGACTGCTTACTTCCACGGGTAGACTAGCGAGGCTTCTCCAAGTCCTCGGCTTTGCTCTGAGATTCCAACACGTAGGTATCGATGAGCGAGTCTACTTATGACTTAAGGTTGCATGACTCTTTTCCTCATGTCCCCACCACCTTGGCAACCCTCAAAAGCGCTTAACCTCCCTCTCTGAAGGATTTTTTAAGCTTGAGAACCTTGGCTCAGCATCCCTCACTAACCATTTTCTACTTACACGCCACCTTCCTTTCCCTCCCGGATCATGAGCATAAAAACTGCCCCTGGCTTACCCTGAATCACAGAATATAATTTAGGATGGATTGGTGAATCGTAGTTCTTTTGTCAAGTGCACTTCATGTCTTTGAGCCTGTTTTTTTCTTCCTTATTGTTACGGATCCATGCAAGTTTTTCTTTCTGTTGTGCTTTTTGCGTTTGAGTGATTCTACCTCTCTCCTTCAGAGTCTTTTAAAGGAGATCTAAGGAGAAAGAGGAAAATAGAGGCGTGCCGTACACTTCCTAACGTCCTTCCCTCTTCCCCACGGCAGTTAAAAATGGAGAGGTGAACTTCACCCTGTACCTCCATGCCCGCAGCTGAGGCTGGAAAGGGGTGGTGGAAAGAAACTGCAAGCAACTCTGGTTTGTTTCTTGGGTAGGGCCAACCGTCCTGAGGTGCATTTATGCTTTTTTGAACGGCGTTTTAGTCCTTTCTTGTCGATATGCCACACTCAAAGGTGTGAATCTCATCACTTCATCACCTGAACCTCGCGTCCCCGCTGGCCCAGAGGGAATGAGTGCATACCAAATTAAAACTCAGCGTACCGTTGCCTGAGATCGCCTACCGTGTGGCGAGCATACGCTTTGCCAGTTAGCTTTGCTTCCAGCCTGGGGAAAGGTGGGAACCAAGAGCCAAATGCGCATATCCTACAAGATTTCCCTTGTCTTTAGAGGAATCGAAAACAATAGGTACTTAATTTCAAGTCTTATGACTCCTTTGTGAGTCGTGGATGGAATATTAATGATTTTACAACTTTAGTTGAATTAATTCCATTCCTGGGCCTCAGTTTTTCCCTGGACACCACGCAGGGTATAGGATGTTAATACGACAAACTTTTTTGTAGGAATTGGTATCGACCATTCGCACATCAAGAACGAATCGAACATTGGGATCACATATACACTGATATGAATCTCAACCAAATGAGCTGACCATCACCCAATGGGGAAAACACAATAAACCAATATACCCCGTACTCGGGATTATGCCGTCCATCGAACAACCAAGATCAGCAGCGATATTCAACACGTCACGTCCTCCCACGACGCCTGGCGAATGAACGACAGTGGTCAGCTGCCCGACCAGACTGGAGAGGATTTCTAGACGGCTTACCCTGACGGCTTGAAGGCCGAGAAGAGTCTTCCTTCCCGGGTTGACGGAATGGGCCCTCATTTTGGCAGCAAGAGATGGGGATTCGTAGCTAGCGGTCAGGATGACCTTATATCCATCTGCTTGGGCCACATTTGAAAGGACGCTTCTGTCCGGCCCTAGGTGCGAAGCAAGAAATACAATGTGAGTGCATGCCTTGTATGTTTTTTCTTCTTCGCATCCTATGAATTTCTCTTCTTGACAACAATCAACGCGTGTCTGCGGTTCCCAACTTATGTGATTCAGTTTCAAATCATCTTTAGTCCAGCTGGCAAAGTGGATGTACAAGCGGAAAGGCCACCTCCGTACTCCGAGGAAACCAGCGACTAATACCTCCATTTGAGCATCACCGGCCTAATGCAGCTAATTGGGCCATTGCGAGACGGAATGAGACGTTTTCACTCATGGAATCCTCGCTAAATGCATCCAGAAAAGTTCGCGAGACCGTCTTCCACATGTTTACCCGCAACAGAGAGCGAACGTACAGGTGGAGTTGAAGACCCGGAGCATGACGCTGAGTCCCATGGAAGCCCCAGGGTAGTTCTGATAGCGGGTGAATCCGTGGGTCGAGATGCAGGGGCCCATCGAGGTCAGCGGTTGAGACAAGAAGATCTCCGAGCAGCACTGGTCCGAGTCCAGCACTCTCGACTCTCCGCCCAGCTCGCAAGATATCACCATGTCTCGACACCTGAATTACATGATTTTGGATTATTAAAAAAAAGGAGGCCAAAGACAGTACCCAATATATAGAAACATATATCGCAAGTGGAACTGATAGTGAAAGATAAATGTAACCGTGCAAGGGGGCATTGGTTCAACAGCCTTCAGGTATATAGTGGGGAAAAACAGAGGCCAAAAACACGTTTTATCACTTGGCAAAGTCCTTCCTTTATCACTTTTTTATTTCCAAGAATTTCAAAAGTAATCCAATTTTTTTTGCACCCGAAACAAATTTTTTTGTCTAAGGTAAAATTTGGATGGACACTGAGGCATAAAGGGGAATTTTTCGGACCTTTTCTTTAAATCTCAGTTTCACGGCCTGAATTCCACCGCGATATTTAACTGCCTTCTTATTAGTAATTTACCTCAGTTTCACAGTCCCCCTCTTTTTCATCCGTGATTTGTGCGTGTGTGTTTTTTTACCTGTATCTTACCAGCATTTACACTCTTGTAATTTACCATTTTTACCTTTCTTTTCCTTTATTATTTATTCCTTTATTCCTTATATTCCTTTATTATTTTTTCCTTTATTTTCCTACCCTGTAATTTACCATTTTTACCTTTGGGGTACCTTTCACATTCGATTTCCCTCCTCTTTTTAGAATAACATGGCGTAATGTATGATCTTATGCGATTGGAATAACATTAAGCCTGATGTTATGAATCACATAGATTGATGTGATCTGAGACCAATAATAAAAACTAGTGTTAAAAGAAAGTCACAACATGAAATTCTAGCAAAAAAACATTTCTGATGTGTACGATATAAGCTGACGACTTCGCGGTCTGATCATTAGTCTCATCATTCTGAATGCATTTCTGCTTTAGGGTTTAGTATATTACTATATTCAAAAGTTCATAGACCAAGAGATAAGCTAACGTGAAATAATTCTCAATACAACGTGAAAAACATTTTTCAATCGGTGCCGAACCACTAACGCTGTGCGAGACAGGTTGTGACTAGGCTATACCAAGTCATACGGGAAATAACGCAGTTCCAACACGTCCCACGAGGATAATGTAAACGAGCGCGAATGTGCTTTGGGCAATTTTCTCCTGGGATTACCCGAATTTCGCCATTGCGACTCATTTCTTCTCAAGAACCTGCTTGCGGAGGAGTCCTTTTCCATGAGCCTCAGATAAAATCGGGGATTCCCCCCTTTCCACCATTTTTACCTCTTACTCTTTTTGGCAGAACAGGCAATCATTAGGTGAAAAAGCCGTGAAATATAGGAGAATGAGGGGGTAAATTTTTGTATGTGTACAAAGAACGCACACTGCTAGCAAAAAGGTTTCAGGGTTTATCTTAGGTGAAGGATAAACCGTAAAAAAATGTTAGATTTCTGTGAATCACCATTCGAAAGGGTTAAACATTTAGCAAGAAGAGTTTTATGAATCTTGTGAGTGGATAAATGAGGATCTATGAGAACAGGTATAAATATGTATCCCTTCTGAGGTTACATATAGGAAACAATGAATGGGAAATGGTCTTTCGATGAAAATTAAATCATTTCTCCAGCTCCAGAGGAAAAAGTTAATATTTAGGTGATCGTCTTTTTTTAAAGCGAGGGAAAGTAGTACATGTCCAAGGTGGGCCATATGTATCAGGTTGTTAGACTGTTATTGCTATGATGTGTGGATATGGTCTAAACGACATGGAACTCATGACCCACCCTGAAGATGAGCCAGTTTCTCACTTTCGGAAACCTCGGACGACTATCAACGAATGAAAATTGAGTTCCTGCGTATAAAACCAATTATCAAATGTCTCAGAAAATTTTTTCTAATACACCATCAAGAAAAGGAATAAACATATCCTTTTTGAGGCGGCATATTTATCCCCAATGAGATCGTTCTTCATGGAAATCAGATGTTGCCGAACGGAGTTCAAGTTTTAACCTTTTCAGGGTTAAACAGAATAAAAGGGTATAGGTAAGAATGAAACACCATTTGCAAGGGTTATTTGTGTGATGTAAAGGTTCCTATTAGAAAACTAGCCTCGTTCATGGAGTTATGATGCTACTGTTTCCCACAGTTCATAGAATCGCCCTTCCCTCTTTCCGGGGCACCTCATTTACAGGTATGTTACGTCACCTTATCCCGTGTTTCGCCTTGCCTCATTATAGGTGGTAATCAAGACGACACTTCCTCATTCATTATTACCATATTCGAGACAGATTCCTGGATCTTAGACCAAAAGATGCTCGTCTTCACAAACAGTAGCCCGTGCATAAACGATTGAACTTCGTCCTCATGGAACATCTGGATCCAACAAAGTACATGAGTAATATGAGTTGTAGTTGAAACTCCTTTTTAAGTTATAAAAGCTGAACCAATTTTGCAAACAGTGTAGTAGGGCTCCGATGGACCCTTGCCCAATTTTTGTTAGTCGTATAAAAAAAAAGTTTACAATTGAAAATGTTTCAGATTCGTGATACTCTAGCATCCAGGTCTCCTCGAAATGAAGGACGAACACTACAAATTGAAGAATTTGTGTGCAATGTTTCGACTGATGTTTAGAAAAATCGAGGCCTGGCGTCCAACGGATCTCCCTAGCCCGGATAAGTGTCAAGCATATAAGAAGCAATGCTATTTTTCTATGCACCAAACCTGAGCGAAGCTGAAATGAGCAACTGTGGTATGGTAGTTCGATTTCTACGAAGGATCTCATCGAGTTCCGCCTCCAGACGTTCTCGGCGAACCATGTCGGATCGGAATTTCTGGGACAAGGAGTCGCCGCGACTCAAGGCGCCCATCGCGTACACGAGTACTTCTCGTCGCACTTCCAAAGCTGTTGTAGAAAAATGTGAAATTTTATCAGATTAATAAATTTCGCGACAGTATATGAAAATCACATCAATAAATACGATGAACGGAAATGATTAATGATTTTAACTTTTTTTAAAGCGAAAAGTTATAATTGTAACTTGGACGCGATATTTGAGTTCCTCCCCAAAAGAATACGGATATCAAGACATTCTACCCCCGAAAAGCAATGTTTGAATAGTTAGACTCGCGGCTGTTTTAGTCGGTTTGTACTCCCATGAACAAAATGAAGCAGTAAATTTCAGTTTAAAAAAAAAATCATTTTAAATGCTCTCGCCGAAAATTTATACTAATGCTCAGAGAACTTATCCTCAGAAAGGCTAAAAAAAACTGCAAAAATTGAAGGACGGAGATTGAACACTTTCACTTGTTTTCCATCACAAACTGCACTCACGGTTTTAAACTACACTCAATCGTAGAACAAAAATATGGTACTTTGGTCGGCATCTTCCCGCAGAGGGTTGGCTGGGCAGATGGTGAGATCCGGCAAGACCCTGCGCTTCAACAGAGCTCCATCCATATCTATCGTCACGTAGTGCTTCCCGTTCACCAGATCCATGATGGGCTTGTAGCAGCCATAGAAGCACCAGGCGATGAGGCTGACCTCCACCACCATCCAGAGGAGCCATCTGGCGACGCCCAGGGATTCCCTGTTCCTCAGGAAGTACAGGCCGTGCATGTCGTGCCAGTCGCAGAATCTCTCCAATACTTCGTCCCAGATGCTCGGACGTTTCGTTTTTGGTGAGTCTGTCCTTTAATGGAAAAGCAATTTTAAAGAACTTTTTCGTTGATGAAGACCAACAACAATCATTTGGTGAAAAACAATTGCATCAACCTGCAATGGGTTTGTAAGGTGTTTCTAAGAAATGTAGGTAAGTTGACGTGACTGAGGTTTTTAGCCGTTAATTGCACAAGACAGTAGTGCAGTAGTGTCGGTTCCAGGGAGCTTTTCTTTTCTAAGCAAAGGCCTTAGAGAAGTTTAGTAGGCGCCATTGCAACATCTGTGGCAACAGATGGCAGTCAAATTAATAGACTTAAACTGCTTTTGAGCCTGCTCAAATCAAGAGGCCGTTATAGAAATAGCGAATACCATCGGATGGAATTGTTCCCGAGTTCAGACTATTTCATATCCTAGGGCCTGTTCCACGCCTCTGCTAAACTTAAATGTAAATCTAAAAGCAGTCTAACAGCAAAAAGTCTATTCTTCGCCCTGACCCTTTAAACAAAGATTTAAGATTAGATTAGATTCAAATTTAAGTTTAGCAGAGGCGAGGAACGGGCCCCTAGTGTGTAAAGAGATTCAGAGAATATCAGACAATTGAGTAAATACGAAAAACTATGTAAAAAAAAAAGGAAATTTCATGAAGAGTATGCAGTGAGCCTATTAATTTGTCTACCCTCTGTATGACGGTGAGTGTCTCTGGACGATATTAAACGACAAGGAGAGCTCCATATCCCTTTGGAGGATAGTTGATACAGCCGAGTCACCAGACGGCAGATTTCAGGTCGGGTTCCGCGAAATCGATCCGTGTAGGCCTCTAAGGGACGGACGGACACGCGAACTAATAAAACGTGGGCAATTCTTACATAGACGGGTATGATTGATTCCGAAACCTCAGTCATTCCACGAAGAGGCTCTGTGCAACTTCCAGATTTAGCTCGTCATGGCTTGAAACGCACTGAAATTCTTGGTTCCAAAAGAGGTGGACGGCTCGGATGACTGGATCGAGTTATGTATTAATAGAATGAGAAATGGTTAAAGACTATTGAAATTTCGAGGCCGTCGCATGAATGGGTCTTAGGATTAGATCAGGGGCGCGAAAAGGAGCCCATCACTATCAGATCCAGCCATCAGGGAAAATCGAGAATGTGTGGGCAACCGAGGGAACGCGGGGTCGAATTGGGGTTATAGGACGTCGACTTTCTCCCGTTCATTATCGTGTTCAAAACCTTATTCATGCTTTGGATTCATCTCATTTCTGCAATAGGCACCCTGAGCCAAGGTATACCCCACGTGGTTGAATGTGCACCTGTGTAGGGACACAGTAGAGAATGAGTTCATTCCGCGCTTGCACGATGAACCTCCCTGCTTCCGAGTGTTTCGCGAGTTACCTCACGATCAATTCTACACATTTTGAATGCATTTACCTGGACGTAAGGAAACCTCGAAAAGGTCTCTGTCTCCCCTTATGTAACGCCACGATAGAAACCTTCTTTCTTCGCCAGGGAAACGGCATGTCGAACACCCGATCAACCGGACCTACGAAGAGGAAAGAACCTCGAGCCACAAACAGCCGCACTCACTCCCAACCGCCTCGATGCCGACTGAAAAGATTCCAGTGACCCTCCTCCCTCCACCCCAGTGACTCAACGCAAGGGGGATAGGGATGGCTTGCCTCGCCATCGCGATGGTAGCGCCCGCGGGGGGAGCGGGTCGCTCCCTGACCCTCTCTCGATGCTCCTCCACTCTGACCTGTTTTCGAACTAAGCTCCTCGCAAAGGCAGAATACGCCAAATGCATCCGCACAATATTCAGAGAAAGCATTCAATGCTCCGAACTTAACATTAATTTGACAGGATGCCCGGCCCCAGGACGATTACATCTGGCAAGCAATCGAAGCCGATTACGACGTTCAACAAAAACTGGAAACGACCGGACTTCGCCATCACACCCGAATTTGACGAGGCCCAGGCGATCGAAGACCGTCCAGCGGTCAGGAGCAAATGAATCATCGGGGACGAATGCCTCGACGCGAGCGCCAGAAGGACCCAAGACCGAGTTCACTTTCTTGGACTTCGACCCGCCACACCGCGATGAGCCACTGCAAGGACCGTTCTCACAGAGAAGAGAAACGCTCACAGAGAAGAGAAACGCTCGCAGAGAAGAGAACGAGTCAGCTGAACCGGAGGATAGAAAGCGAAATTAACCTTCACTCCACACGATGACGATCCCGACTTTCTGATCGCGAAGTCATGCCCATTGTCTTGCTCTCTCGCGCTGCAGCCGCTAAAATTCCTCGTTCCCCAAATGCGATCGAAGATCTGATCGGTGAAACGGAAACGGGATGACGTCATCAATGGCGTCATAGACGCAAGTGAGGGGATGGACGTTAGACCCCCAACTCGCTTAATTTCTCGTTCCCGGTCTCGCTCCGAAAGCTCTCTGTTGTAGCAGGAATTCAAGATTTTATTAGTCCCTTTCCTTGGGAATAATAAAAGAAAAGTATACTTAAAACGGTAAACTGCAAAATTCAAACATTATGCAGGTCGAGTCGAACTCTTTATGCTACGCTTTAAGGTAGAGTCTACCGCACGAACTTTTTACTCAACCATCTGGAATATCAAGACCTGCAAGACTTTCACGGCAAATATCAGAAGTGAACAACTTCTTTGATGGGGGATGGGCAACGAAGAGGTTGGAACCTGGAATCGCAGGAAGTGGCATCGCCCGAGTTCAACTGGCAACCCTGTCTCCGTTGCCACGCCTCTCCCTTCAGCCTCGCTTCGGACGGTGTTCCTTTTCCTTGGAGTGGTCGAGACCTTTTGCCCTGCCTAGGGTCGATCTCTCACCCGGCGTTGTCACCAAGTCCGGGCGATTTCCGAGGGAAATCCCAACGACGACGCGTTGGGCTGAAGTGGACGCGAAAGCAAAGAATCGCTCTCCCGTCGCAAAGAATTACATATTCAAGCCCTTTCTCGAATGGAACTGTGAGAAACAGGAAGGCTCACAAACGGCTCATCGGCGAGCCGTCTGGCTGCGAAATACATTTATTTCACAAATAAAAGCATTATTACACAAATATTTATCGGATTCGACTCGCTTCCTTCGACAATATTCTCACCGGTCGGAAAATGGTAATTATTTGCAAAATATTGCAAAATGCATCTCACACTGGGGTTTTGCAGCCCCTCAATGGCACTTGCGAAATCCTCATCGATCAGATGTCAAATCGATCTTGACTTGGTTGAACGAAGCCGACTTAGATTCAAGATGCTGTTGCATTAGTGCTGCATGAACGTTGCATTAGTGCTGCATGAACGTCGCATTACTGCTGCATGAACGTTGCGTTAATGCAGGGCGTCAAGTGAGAAAAATGTTCCCAGGGTGCTTCGAACAGTTCCAGCAGCGATTACTCGTTTGCGATCCGCAGGGGGAAACGGGTCAGGCTTCTTGTCACTCTCGAAGAAGGCCGCATGGCGTCAATGCTAAGTGCCGCTAGTTAGCACGAGAAATGCATCCAAGTGAATTCTGGGCGGTTGATCCTTGGATGCTGGTGGAATGAGATCGATTCGGGTGAAATAACGTCGGGAACGATCGGAGGGGAAACCTCCATCGTCCGCCTTCCTTTCCTCGCCGGCGAGTTCGAGATGGTCAAAGCGGATCGATCTGGCAACCCTGGCTCGACTCGTTGGAGGATGCACGGGATGTTGCTGCGTGCTCCAAACGTCCGTTGGATGACGCGCCGCGTCAAGATCTGTGGTGAGCGGCAGGCACTTTCAAGGCCGTGTCTGTGGGAAAATGACCGTGGGAAAATAATATTCCACTTGATTCATTCTGCTGCGAGTTGGGCCGGGCGGGCTGTCATGGCGGGTTGTCATGCTGAAGAAGGGAAAGGTTTCACGATGCAAGGAGGCTGTAGAGAAACTGAGGTCTGATGCGACGGATTTGTTGTGGAGTATATGGTGGGACGTGAGGGTCAAAGGTCAAAGGTCAAAACATCTGGGTGAGTCCTTGTCAGAAGAAGAAAGGAAAGAAAAATAGAAAAGGAAGAAAGAAATAAGAATGTCAGAGAGCCTGTATGGCGGTGAAGCGAGAGAGATTCCCTCAATACCTCTATACATCTGTCACGTGTCTCATGTCTCGTGGTTTTTGCAGGACGGTAGTGACTTCTCAGAATTCACTTGGAACGGTCGAGTGCAAGCCTAACTCCAGTGACGAAATCTGTGGGTGTGAAGTGTGGGTGTGAAAAATTGTGGCGTGTGAAAGCATTCGCGCGACTCCGCGAGGCTCGACCGAGGCTAGTCGAAATTCTTCGCAGGGACCTCCGCGACGAACCCCCCGGAGGTGGCATCGAGACGACAGACGGCGTAGATGGCATTGTCGCCCTGGGTGAACACGACGATCTTGTCCATCTTCCCGGTCGTCGCGTTGCGCGAGAAGTCGAAGGGCACGGCGCGGATCTCGTCGATCTCCTTCCCCTTCCCGAGGCAGTCGCCCGTCTTCGCCTTCCAGTTGAAGGCGGCGTCGGCGAAGGGCGTCTCCGCCGTTGCGTTCCCGCTCGGGCAGACCTTCTTCTCGCTCGTGAAGAGGACCCACTCCGCGTCGGGCAGGGGCAGGCCCCAGAGGTAGTCCTGCTTCCCGGGGTCGTTCGTGCAGGGGAAGTAATTCGCGCCCCCTCCGTTGCTCGTCTTGTTCTGGCCGAATCCTGGGTATTCCACAGCGTTTTCCTCTGAAACCAGAGGGAAAAGTTGATGAACCGCGTGGCAGCGGGAAGTCATTCTGCATTTCAGGGACTTGATTGCACGACGAACTTAAATTTGTCCATGATAAGTCACGGCCACTGAGGATTATGGGAAAATGATATATCCGAAATTTCAGCAATCAAAACGTTTTCAGAGATGACCCCCCCTAGATTAGGGGTCGGGAACATATGGCTCACGAACCAAATTTTGCTCACGAGCCGAAAAGTTTGGCTCATTGAGTCATGGCTGAAAATCGTGTTTGTTTCTCATTTTTCTCATGCATCAAAGAATGCATATGGTCTGTTCCCGACTCCAGGAAAAATTCTGCCGTTCTGAAAATCTTTTGCTCACAAGCACCTACCTCAATCACATGGCTCAAAAAGGTTCCCGACCCCTGCGGGTGTCGATAATCACCAGAAATGAACCTAGAAGGGTTTCGGGCTAATTTCGATTGAATTTCGTCAGTGCTTCTTTACAACAAATAATATAACATTTTCTTAAAACTTTCACTCACGTCCATCCAAGGGGATGCAACGGGAAAACTCTAAATTTTGTTTAAAATTCTTAGGATATGCAATTAATGCGATCAGTCAGCAGCTTTTCCCTCCTTAGAAAATTTTAATGAGATGGTCGATTTAAATAATTAAGTAAATTTAGAGTTTCATGGAAATAGAAAGGAACCACTTAATCGCTGAATGCCTTGGAATAGTCTGTCATTTATAATAAAAAATTTGCACCTCTACCTGCAGTCGATTAAGATATTTAAAGTCCAAATCTGTCAAAAAAATAAAATGACCTATTAACAAGCTTGAGTAGCTAGGGAGATTTTACTTCTGTCATAGGAGACATTGATGCCTTTCCCCTTCAATGTTCAAGTGGCATAGACCAATTTTCCCGGAGACCAATTGACCAAGACTGAAAACTAATTTAATTGTGACCCCATGCCCACGATTCCTTTCAGCGTGAATCCCAGCGGCGCAACCAAGCACCACCAGCCCCAGTCACCTCATTCGCAAAGCAAACCTACTTTGAAAGAGGTAGATCTTGGACCCGTTCTGGAACGCTCCGTCAGGGTGGTCGGCCGGGAATCCCGGGAACAGGAGCTTCAGATCCAGGCACGTCCACGTGCTGGATCCAAGGTTACTAGCGGATTCGTAGAGCCGAACTTGATTCTTATCATAGAAGATGAGGATCTGGCTCTCACTTTCTGGACATGCCTCTCCTTTCAGGGACGCCAGCATCCTGTGGAATGGAACCACGACTGATATTCATCAGTCTGGTCGCATAAATCCAATGGCGAGATCCAAAATGTATTCGGTTCTCACCCGCAATAGTGCAGAACGGATTCCAAGTGTTCATCATCGCAATTCTGAGGATCGACTTTGAACTTGCTCATCGGATCTGTTGTCGTCGCTGCTAAGGTTGCAGTTGTAACCGTTATAGACGATGGAGAACTTGTGCTAGTGCTTGTTGTCACCGAAAGGGTGGTGGGGAGGACATGCGCAGTTGTCGAAGCGGGTATAGAAGTGCTGGAAGTGGTTAGTACAGTTGTGGATGGAGTGTCAGTGGTGGCAGTAGTCAAGATAGTTGTGGATGGAGTGTCAGTGGTGACGGCGGTCAGCGTAGTTGTGGATGGAGTGTCAGTTGTGGCAGTAGTCAAGGTAGTCGTGGATGGAGTGTCAGTGGTGGCAGTAGTCAAGGTAGTCGTGGATGGAGCGTCAGTGGTGGCAGAAGTCAAGGTAGTCGTGGATGGAGTGTCAGTGGTGGCAGTAGTCAAGGTAGTCGTGGATGGAGCGTCAGTGGTGGCAGAAGTCAAGGTAGTCGTGGATGGAGTGTCAGTGGTGGCAGTAGTCAAGGTAGTCGTGGATGGAGTGTCAGTGGTGGCAGTAGTCAAGATAGTTGTGGATGGAGTGTCAGTGGTGACGGTGGTCAGCGTAGTTGTGGAAGGAGTATCAGTAGAGGCAAAGGGATTGTCAGTGCTGGTGAGAGTGACCAACGGAGTAGTATCGGTGCTGGTCATGGTAGCCGCGCTCGAAGGCACGGATGAAGGGATGGCCA